CACATGACATGTATACTAACGGTTGTATGTATGCTTTAAAAGATGTGTACATGAGCGTGTACACATTAATAAATGTGTGTACTTGGCAAGTACACACAATATTCTGTGTACTTGCCAAGTACACAGAATATTCTGCATACATGTAGGTATGCAGAATATTCTGCATTCAAGTACACACTTGGGTTTCCAGAGCGTTTAGTGCCCGGACAGAAATATTTTTCTCAGTGTATGCATGTGAGTGCGGTGCATTTGAATGACGTAAGTAAGCGGTCGCTGAGGGCCGAAATTTCGGACAATGAAGGGTGAAACTAATAATTATAACGAATACATTTAGCGAAAGGCCGATTTATTCATTGATCTGGAACACCAATCGCAGCTCTTCCAAGAGAACTTTTACTACTGGTACGCAGAAGGATCTACCCAATATCGCACGGCGAGTGGAGTTGCTGGTTAAGCCAGTATCAGTATAATGAGCTGGAAATCCAAATAAGCGCTCAATTTCCGTAATGCTGAGGTAGGAAGGCACACCGCGCTCCGAAACGGGTAGCTGTCCGCCAGGGCCTCTCTGTGATTCCTGATTAGTGGTGAGAGTGCCAAGTGTCTTGACAAGTGCTGTTCTCCCATGGTCAAGGAAATCATCTAGAACGAGGCAGCACTTGCCTGGGACTCTAGGGGTAGACAGACTTTTAAGATTGCCCCAGAAATACCTGTGTGAGATCAGTATCGTAAGTATTGTACAAGTCAGGGATACACGAAAAAAAACAAAAAAGAATTAGCTGACACAACTAATAAATTAGCTAATGTTGGGATAGACAAGAAACTGGCTGTGGCAGCCAACAGTTGGTTGCCACAGACAAGAGTTAGTTGACACAGCGAAGCTGTCGCTGCAGGAGCCAATCGGTTCGTTCTGAAAGCGAAACACCCGAGGGGTGGATAACTCCTGAATTGGGTGTACAATTTTGAAAAATTGAATTTCAATTGGCTTGAATTGAATTTGAATTGGACTGAATTGGTTGAATTGTTTTTGAATTGGTTTGAATTATTGCGATTTTATTCTACTGAATTAGCGTGAATTGGCTTGAATTGACTTGAATTGAATGTAAATTGGCTTGAATTGGACTGAATTAATTGAATTACTTTTGAATTAGTTTGAATAAGATTGAATTGGTCTGAATTAGTTTGAATTGGGCAAAATTGGAGGTGTACATTTGGCAGGGGCCTCGGAAACACCCCAATTAGTTCTCAGAACGAACCGATTGGCTGCTGCAGCGAAAGCTTCGCTGTGGCAACTAACCCTTGTCTGTGGCAACCAATATTACACTGGAAACGCAAGTGTGTGAATGTCGCACACTTTCAGGTGTGTGAATATCCATTTGTACACTTCAGGGGGTAAACGTGTGAATTTTCTAGGAAAAATTAACACTTTTAGCCCTTTAAGTGTACGAATGGATATTCACACACTTGCAAGTGTGCGACATTCACACACTTGCGTTTCCAGTGTAGCTGCCACAGCGAATTTGCGATTAACTATCCCAAAATTAGCTAATTTGTTAGTTGTGAGGACTAATCCTTTTTTCCGTGGATTTATGTGAATCACCGTGGGCGTTTCATTGCCGAAAATTCTGAGCTGCACACAGCGACCGGCGACTCCCTAAGGTGGCGGTTCATTTCAGAGAGAACTGCTGCATCGAGGTGCTTTGTATTTTCGAAACACCAGTAAAAGGGGTAACCCTCCCTTTCTGCCCTTCGGAGCAGATAATTTTTCACCCTTATAAAGTCAAAAAATAACTTTCCTGTGCCAGAGTGCAAGCCCTGCCGGGCAGGATTAACGCGGGACAAGGAAGCACAGGGGGAGCCTCCAATACATAGGTGTATTGGAACTTGTATGCTGTCCAATACATCTTCTGTAAGTTGCTCAATGCAGCCCAATTGCACGCCGAAGGGTACATGCCGTTCTTGTACACGTCTGCACGGCTCGCATATTTCAGAAGTGAAGTATTGTCCCACCCTTATGCCAAGGGCTGTCAAGGCAACGTACGCTGCTGAGATGCCGTCAAACAGAGAGATGCAGTTAAGTAATGGGCGGTCTCCCTGCGCACACAATCAGAAAAGTAATACCTTAACACTGCCTTACGACACGGAAGTCACGGAAGGCAAGAACTACAACAGACATGCAATCACCTGCATTGGGCCACTAGTTTCAAATCCTCTGAACCCATCTTCTTCTTGTTCACGTATGGGGGAATCAGGCGTCACCCCTTTTTGCTGTCGTCCCTTTTTTTTTGCACCATACCACCTTGTGCCCTTTGGGGCCTTGGTGAGACAGCGCCGGACGCCCCGTCGCCTCCCCATGTCACTTTAACTCAGCAGACAACAGCGGGACAGCGACACCTGACCACTTGAACGGTCACCCACTTTCATAAGCCAGAGTGTGATGCAAGCGTGCTGGTCGGTCGTGAACCTGCGGTAGTGTAATGGGGAAATGTGTTAGACGACAGACAGTAACACTTCCACTTGGTTTTTCACACTTCCTAGACGGTCAGAGGAGTGTACGAACCATAAACGAGCGACACTAGTCACACGGGAGCGCACGACGTATCTTGACACAGTCACATACAACGCAGCTAAGCCACAGCACCGGGAAAGAAAAACATCAATCGCACAACTTTCATGGATGTGGAGGGTTAGGGTCGGCCGGCATTGTCACTCCATGCTTCCAGCCAAGTCCCTTGGCGGACCGACCGACCGACCGACCGACCGACCAACCGGCCGCTAGGGATACGCGGAACTCGGCGTAACAAAGACAAATTATCTTCAAAACCGACGAACCGGTATATTTTTGGAAAGGGGAAAGATCGATACCTCTTTGCGTCACCACTTGAGGTACGCAGAGCAGTCGAGCGGCAGCCAATCACAGCGCTTTGGTGTTCCACGGGCGCGGCCATACCCCAAAATCACCCTGTGCGAGGCTACGAGCGGCCATAACCTCCCTCGCTCCACCTCGAGTTTTCAGATATTAATTTCTCTCGCAATTCTCTTCGCACCGCCGCGAGGCATGACTCATTTTAAATGTGAGACT